AAAGAGCATTTACATCCAATCAGTGAGAGTTTATCTTGGCACCATTTTTTTTAGGAAAACATTTTGGCAATACCAAAACTTATAATAGACACAATTCAAAACTCTTTTTAAGTCAGCTAATCATATCTTCCAGGAACCTACAGTATAAAAATCTCCAAGTGTTATTTTCAAGGATGCTGTTGCATTATATGACAGAAACTATGTAAAATCTCTCAATGTAGGCCAAAAGGGAATGGTTAAATAATTTATGGTACATTACACCTGGCCATAAAAAATAGGAGCTATATGAATTCTTGAGTAAAAGCCAAATCTTAGAACTAGATACATAATAACAATTTAATTAAGCACAAAATGTTTTTTTAAGATTCAACAAAACACTAATTTGGAAATCAAGGACGTGTGGCCAGTTGACAGTGATGACTTTCACTTTTTTCCCTTTTCTATATTATTTTCTTGTTGTAGCAATTGTAATTTTAATAACAAATATTTTTTAAAATATTTATTTTTACTATCAGTTATAAAGACTTTCAATATGCAAATGCATTTCTTCTAAGAGTTGGCCCCACGGGATCTCAAGAGTCCACATTAACTCTTTTTCTGAAAACTTACTGTTCTTAGTTGTGGTATTCTAACATTATTGATGTTCAAAGACAAAATTTAGAAAACTGCTATTTTGAATTACATTTTAGGAGGAAATTAGATATTTTGGATGATTCAGGGAAGAACATATAGAGAAGAAAAAAGATACAGAGAAACTTGAGCTCTTCTACCAAAAAAATGGCATTTATGACATTTATTGCAATCTTTTAAAGGTATTATGAAGGTATTAAAAAGATATCCAAGTATTAAGAAAACTAATTAGGCTCTCTTAATTTATGACATTCAAAGAGACAAACAGAATCTTCTAACCCACTCTTCTGCAATGCTCAAATATTTATACTAAACTACTTGCACTACGTTTACCTATCAAAAGTAAATGCTCATATTTTATAATCTATTATTCCCTAAACAGTTCTCCCAAAACAGTATACTTTTCTAAAAGGAAAAAGCCCCAAAGCATATAATAATCTTATGTGAGACTTATCAGGCATTCAAATATAGATGAATTTCTGACATGATTTTAATAGGAACATATAAATTCTTGAATTTTCATAATAAATTTGTTAAAATTTGTAAAACCTAAGTTTTTTTTTTACTAGAAGCATATAAATAGTGAAGAGGAGAAAAGGTGCTTTGGGGACCAATGCTCTGAAAACAAGACAAAAAAGTCAAAGAAAGAAATCAAATACTGGGTAATTCCTTCAAAGTAGTGTTATTACTTTAAAAGTTACTCATATCGCAAATATAACTGAGGTCTTATTTTAAAAAACAAGGCACTACTGAAAACGACTATTTTTAACAAAATTAAACCAAAAAACTGGTTTACATACTCATTACAACTGAGTATGTAAAAATATAACATCAATAATCCTTTACACTGAAACTGTTTAGACAAATTTAGGGTTCATATGAAGAGTTATACAACATTATCATAGAGTATGGTTTAAGCCAGGTAGCTTCAACCCCACTAGTTTTATGTAGTCATAACTCTCCAAAATACCTTACTGTAACAAGTACTCACCTATAATACTCATTCTACAAATATTTTAGAGACTATTTTGTGCTATGTATCATGCTAGGGATCGCCTATGGCAGAAACACTGGGAACAACTTTATAGCAGTATTACAATGTACATCTATTTCCTCTCACACTGAAAAGCAGTTTGGTAGATAAGAGTTTAAAGAATACTGATCTAGAAAATATGGGTTGAAATTCCTACTGTAACCACTTAAAAGTCCTTCTTACTTTTCTGAGTAATAAACCATGTGTGTTATATACCATGCAAACCTGATTCAGGAAATAAACTGGACTATGTAAATATTTTAAAAATTTTTTAAATTAAAAAAAAGAATGCAACATTACATGTTAAAGGATACTGAGGCTTGTGCCCATGAGAAATGACAAAAAAAAATAAATAACTGCAGACCTTATTTATATTAAAACACTATGTTGGAATTGCAAAACATTTTCTACTGCATCACAGATTCTTTAAGAATTTACATACACACACACAATTCTTAAAGAATTATATAACTTCTTTTAAAGAATTTATCCTTTTAAAAATTACTTTCGACATTTTTCAGAATAGAAAAATATTTTTCATTGAAATCTCCCAAAATGTACCGCTTTGCTTAAAAAAAAAAAAAACTTTCAATGGCATGATTAACTCTCTTTTTTAAAAAAATTATGTCTTTCCTTGTAGGTCTGCAACCCTAGGCCTTGTTATACAGATACATGTAACAGGTTTTCATCTTGAGAGTCTACTTAAAACTAAGAATTTGTTTGCCTTTTAAAGAAATTTGCAGCAGTATTAAACACTTTTAAAAAAGCTCCCCCACAAACTGTTTTAAAGACTTCAACCACCTTTTCACACTTTTATATTTTACTCAAACATCTCTTGTTAACCATATATTTTAAAAAGAATTCAAACAGCAAACAATAAAAGATGATTTAAATAACTGTTGCAAATTCTATCCTTTAAGAGTACTTGAATATTTAAAACATTTTATTAAGGTGTGAAAGGAAAAAGTTTTACAAAGGTTTACTGACATGATTATCATTTGCTTTCAATGAGAATAAAACAAATCTTAAAATACCCATCAGAGTTGATTGTTCTTCATCTTAATTTCCTTTCAACTGAAATTCAGAAGTAACATGTGTCCACTTTAAGGAAGATTTATATATGAAAAATAAGTTTATTTAAAAAATAAACAACTTTAAATTTCACAATATTTTCCACTTCCAAGATAGAGCAAAATGTGCCTTGTGGTTTAAACATGATCTGATTTACAAAATCTCATTTGGTCCTATTTAGTAAAACAAAATACAAAAACACAAATGGTGAGGTATTAACTATTAAGAAATCCAATGTGAAAGTATATATAAAAAAAAAAACAACCCACCATTTGTTGTAAGAATCTAACATGGCAATATTTAAAGTATATTAAACAGCTTTCACTGAAATTTAATGTGCTGGCTTACCAAGAGCAACATTACCATACTAAAATATAAGTTGTGTTGTCCAGGTTTATTTTTCCAAAGATTTTATCAACTGTACCAGGGATTGGCAAATTTCTCCTTTAAAGGACTGAGAGTAAATATTTCAGGTTTGCAGGCCAAAATATCTCACTCACTCAATTCTGCCACTACAGGGTGAAAGCGGTCACAGACGACACCTAAATGAATGGGTATGCCTGTAGGCTGCAGTTCGACTGCTGCTGAACTAGACAACGGATTTTGAGTAAGAGACTAATTATATTTCAGGTACCATATCACAAATATGTCATATATGGGGGTTAGGGGGAACAATATAGATGGGTAGACATCACTTAATAAACATTATGTAAAGTTATACAACTCTTTTCACTTTAATTCCATATTCTTTTTGGCCTATTAACAGTATCGGACCAAAGTCAGATAAGCAGCAAAGCATGATGATTGATTGAGTACTCACAGGCTAATCAAGAACCATGAAATTTGGTTTTGTCATCTAAATATTTCTACATAATGAAAAACTAATTTATTTGCTGTGCCCTTAAAGAAAATGTTTGATGATTATTTCAGATGCCGTTGCAAAATTTAATTGAATTGTTACAATTTTGAAGCTAAAGTGGTTTGCTTTTTGTTTTATTAGAAAAAATACTCAGGCAAGGTCTACAATCATCGGTCAATTAAGAATGACTTACAAGAACATGAGGCAATAAAATAAAAAATACAGGTACAAACTATATATCTGAAAACATTTCTATTTGGCAATTTTATAACAAATCAAAATTTTAAAAGAACAAAGGAGATTGCAGATTACTTTGTAGATACAGAATAAAGCAAATGACGAAGTGCTTAAGCAAAAAACAAAAAGAAAACACACTGCTTTTTTTAAAAAATAAAATCACATTTGCTACAGATCATATGAATAATACCCTTATTAAACAACCATTCCAGAATGTCTTATAATAGCAGTGCTTTTATTTGCACTTCATTTTATATGACTCATTTCATGTATATAGCTCTTTTCCCCATTGTTAACGAATAAAGTCTCCCATAATTTTTATTATTTTTAAATTTTTTTAAAGTAAATGAGAAATGATTTATGTATCATGGAACCTTTCCCATTTTGAAACCAAAGGCTTAATTCTGTAATTTTGTCTATTCTTTCTTTAAAAAATTTAGTGTAAAAATTGCTGGTTTTCATATTACTGTAGTAAAGTGAAAACTCCTCAATCAGGAGTATTTTCTGCAGTTTGACTGCATATAAGCACATACTTTACAATATGTCCTTCCAACAGTAAGGAAATAATTGATTTCACAGTCACTGTCAGAAATGAGTGCCATAATTCTATTATGGATATAGGTCCTCCCTCAAGACTTTCTGGAAGGATGTTCAATGTGTTTTGTTCTTAAAGATATTAACAGTAGTTCATAGTCCCTTAAGTCTGCAAAAGACATTTATTGTTAAAGAAGGTGCTTTATTAACAATTCCTCTGGCAGCACTAGTGAATTACAATATCCTTCAATATTATTTCTACCCATAATATATACATTTAACTTTCATGCCTCTAGAAAAACATCTACAGTACATTTCATAATATAAAAATATATTACAAATCTGCTGAATTATTTACAAGCAATGTTCTATTATCTCTACGCAACATTTGTTTGATACATTACTAACAAGTTACGCATATTTCCATTTCTGTAAGATAAAAAAAATCCATATGGCTTCTTGCTTAACCAAGCAAGAAAGTGATTTTATTTTCCTTTTCAAAACCAACTTTGGTGCATAAAGGATTCAGTTTGAAGATACTTTGAGAAAAAAAATACAATTTTTCTTGCGTTAATAACTAAAAAACGAAATGCTTTCCTCAGAAAAAAAAATTTTAGAGGCTTATGCAGGTTTAAAATAAAATATGACTATTCAAATATTTGAAATAGAGGTTTTTCAAAAACCGTTAACAGATTAGTTATATAGGTAAATATTAACATACTGTACTCCATGAGAAAACCCTAGTCCTGAAAAGGGAGCGACCAGACATACGGCAACACTCTTTAACAGAAATTTTCAGCCCTAATTCGAAAGACGAATTTTTAGTTGATTGCAAATGTCGTTCACTGTTTGCTTAAATACAAATTGAACACTTTTCTTATCAGAGTTCTGCAAAAGAACACAAATGGCAACCAATCACATCTATTTATCATAATTGAAAGATAAATTATCTTTTGATAATTTTCATTGTCTAAATATTTCCTAATATGACTTCAAATCAATAGACACTGTCAAGACGAATATCCTTACAGTGCTTTTGGTATTTGTAAGGGCACATGTTGTAATTGTATTCTTTCCAATATAAGTTATTGTAATCACTAAAGGGGGGGAAAAAGCAGCTTAAAGCAGCAAGCATGCAAAAGCCTTTTAGAAGCTGTTCCACTAAGTTGCCAGAAGAGTGTTTGCTCAGTCTCCCACAGTACCATTCCATGAAAATGTGGATATACAGTAATATATTAATATATTCCACAGAAGAGCCTACTTCATTCACAGAATGTTTACACTAAGCATAAATATTATTCTAAATATTGGATTAAAAAAAAGGAAGGGGGTTGACTCTAATGTGCAACTTTTACTAAACCCATTGTCAGTGACTAAGACTGCAGGTGTCCCCGCTCGTTTGCTTTTTATGTATTTATTTATTTTTTACCTCTTCAACCTCTTCTGCGGCATTGTTCTAGAAAAAAGAGAAAAGGGAATATTCTTTTATTCAAATGAATCAAAAACACATTAAGTACTTCAAAAGGGACATTAAAAATATTTATGATATAGGAAAGGTGATGATTATTGATCATTAAAATTTATTTCCAAAGCATTCACACATAATAGATGCAAATTTAGTTATAAATACGGCTTTTTAATAAATTCTTTTTATGTAGCCTGCTAATGTATTTCTAAAGAAGAATCTCATGTCTAACACATGTGTTTTAACCAACTAGTACTTTAAAACTGATGTTTAGATCTCGAATAAATATGTTCTTTTTAGTCTTGTTTTTAAGATAATATATTTTTGGAAGATTTGCCATGCTTTCATTTTGAGATGCACATGAACCACAAATTGTTTCTCCTAAAACAAGTTAGAATAATTGCTTTCCCCCGCTTTTATTTAATTTCACAAGTTTTCGCAATCAAAATCCAAAATATTAGTAAAATGTTACACCAAATACGGCAAATGTAGGGGGTTCTATTACTCTCTGTCACTTTAAGGTAGCCTAAATTCTAATTTCCAGAATAGCAGAAGCATGAAAGGTTATACTTAAAATTAAATATTAAGATGTGGGAAAGGGGGCGTACAGCTAAAGAAAATTAACTACACACCTACGTGTCTTAAGAACATCTTCATTACCCAAGAATGACATCAAATATTGTAAAATTACACTGAGAACATGCAATGCAATTCCTATGCACTTCTGAACACCAGTTCTGAGCCTGAATGATTTTGTCACTTTCATTAAACTATCTTAATTGCTTCCTATACAGCACAAAAACAGAAAAAATAAGCTGCTTTTGTAGTGGGGAGGGAGGAGAGATGTAGATGGGGTAAAAGGGGTCAAGTATGTGGTGACAAAAAGAAATCTAACTATAGGAGGTGAACACACAGTATAAATATATATATGCCTTACTGTTCAATTGTACACCTGAAATTTATTGGATTTCGTTAACTAGTGTCACCATAAAAATAAATTAATTAAAAAATAAAATAAAATAATAAGCTGCTTTTGTGAAAAAGGAAGACCCTGGGGGAGGGGAGGAATAGAATGCAGAGCAGAAACATGAAGTCAGTCTTACTCTTATAATTAAGATTCATGTCCCTTTGTCAACTCTCTGCCTAAGTAACAGCCATTTACAATTGGTTGTGACAGCAGGGTGGCTCTCCCAAAATATCATGCTTTTGTAGTGCTAATTACTCCCATTAAAGAGTAAACAAAAATAAACCCCAAATTAGGTACCTACCAGTAAGTAAAGAATATTCAATTATTTTTTAAATCGTAATTTTTCCATATTTTTGGTAGTGGATTCCCCTCAATCTTCTCCTTTAAAGTCGTATTTCACTGTTCTCTTTGCTCATTAATTTCATAACCTAGCTCATCCCACAAAAAACAAGGGTTTTATTGTACTTAGCACTTTGACCAAAAGATATATATGTTTTTAATTTTTGGACTAGGGAAAACTCTATAGAGTCTCAGTGTTTCCACATGGCAAGCACTCATTATGCTAGGATTTCATTCTCAGAAGATGGCTCAAATTATAGAATTCCTTTAACAGTGAATAACATTCTAAAAAAGTTGAGTCATGGAATGAACAGAACCTTCAAAGTGTTTAATTGCTTCAAAATTTAGCACAGAACACAGTCTCTTCATGATAAATAAAATTTACATTTGGGATTATCAATTATTATAATATGTCATCGTATACTTATCTAACTTATTCCTTCCGTAAAATACATTTAAATTAAAATTTCTTTTAAAAAGTACAGAAAGTTTGTTCATTAAGAGTGCCTTTTAAGCATTTTTACCACTTTTTAAATCACTCTAGTGTTATGTCATTTGGATAGAGGCAGTATGGAGTTCAGTCACATCATACTATCTGGTAACCTTGGGCAAGCTATTTAACCTCTTGTCTCAGTTTTCCAATCTGTAAAACAGAGATAGCAACACCTACTTCACAGGGCTGCTGTGAGGATGAAGTATATGTAAAGCACCTAGCAAAGTGACTCAGCACATAGTCAGAAATGTTGATCTCCTTCACCCCCCATACCTTCATAAGCATAGCATTATTAAAATAAAGGTCGGATCAGAAAATTATTAGAAATGCGAACATTCTATGCTACCTCTTAAAAACAAACACAATAATATATAATCTGACCTTCTGAAAAGTTTTGGGGAAAGCCTAAGTTTAAAAAACTCAATCATTTATGGTATTTTGAGCACATGCAATACACTTACTCCCAGGTCCACAAAAGTCTGGTATTATAAAAAGAATTACATACTTAAACATAAGGCATTCTTTTCAGTACTATGTATATTAGAATTAATTTACTTAAGATAAATCTAAAATTAAACTGACACAAAAACTTTACCAAAATATAATCTTTCTGAATTCTGTATTTATAAATCTTTGTGACGTAATTGCCATATACAAAGCTCTAGAAAGCAAGATATGCTTGAGTACTGAATTCAGTACTTAAAATAAGTCCTAACCTTTTATCCAAAATTTAGGGAGATTTAAGATTTCAATGCAGAAAGTAAAACATCACATCAAGCATTAAATTACCTGTATATGTTTGGGTCCAAAAGCAAGGCAGTATCTTTGGGTAGCTTTGATAAATGAACTACTTTAGTTTTTAATTGATGTCGTTCACTTTCATTCACCCACACGTCAGGCAGACTATGAATTTAAAAACAAGCAAATAAAATAATATTAATTTTAAATTTACCCCTCAACAGCTTCACATTACCTAGTCTTTTCTGCCAGTCTGACAGGGCCACCTATGTTTACAAGCTTATCAGGAGCCAAGGGAACTCAGAATATTAGGTAGTGGGATGCTGAGTCCCAGCTAAGAATGGCAGGGTGAAAATTTAGGCACGAATTTGGAGATCCATTAAAAATTTCTGGTGACAAAGCCATATCAAACTTAGAAACACATATTAGAACACCCTCCCCTGTCATTTAGCCTACTTAGTGAAATTCACACTTGAGCCTGACTTGATGAAAATTAGACACCAAATTTTGAAGAAATAAGTAAAAACCTCACCAAGTTCCACTTCAAAAATATATATATGCATATATAACCAAAATTCTAAAATCAAAGAAACTTAATCCTACAAGGACATTCAAATAAAAGCATTTTAATATTTGGAGTGATCAATTTTCAAAGTACTAACTAAAAATACACAGACATTGGAATATATTTTTTAAAGAAACTATGTTTAGAACCTTAATATAAAACTAGGTCTTACAAATCAGTATGAAACAGGTAAACACTCATTAGGGAAAAGAGACGGGGTAGACAAAGAACACAAACCATCAATTCACCAAATAAATGAACAGTTTAAAAATGATCTGTAATCAAAGAATTGCAAAATGTAATAATTATAATAACCAATGTTGATAATAGAGAGAAATAAGCTCTCTAACGCAGTAGATGGGATTTAAAATGGGCACAAACTTTCAGGAAGACAACAGATTTTAATCTTTTTTTTTTTTTTTTTAAGAGAAAAATGAGTAACTTTAATGTTCAGTAAAAAACAACTTATTAAATAAATTTTACACTGCCGTTTCAAAACATTTTACAGTAGCGGATCCATAAAATCTGGAAAGGGAAGAGAGGTAAGTGGTAGAAAATATGTTCTACACTAATGAAGTCTGATATAAGATTTTTTTAAAAGAAAAAACCTAAATAATTTATTTCAATATGCTAAGGTGTCCTGTAAACTCCGAAAGCTACTTAAGTACTTTTAATTCACATCACATTCATTAACATCTTAAAATGGAGTTTAGGAAATAATACTGTAAAAAATATATATATATATTTAATAAGGATAAATATTAACCACATATTAAGTTTTGAAAAATAAGTATACAAAGTGTGATTCCATTCATTTAAATTTATCCTATTCTTGAGGGGAGATGGAGAGGAATTTAAATCATTTCTTCAATTAAAATAACTTATTTTATAATAAATTTATTCTATTCTTTGTGCTTATCAATTTTATCCAAAATTTCTATGAAAGACCCTTATTACCTTTGGTAACAAGAAAAAAAAAAGTCAGTAAGAGGATAAAAAGAAAATCAAAATTGATTAACTAAATTAAGGAGCATCTGGACCAGACGTACTCTAAAATGGGTATTAAAACTCAAAGAAAAATTTAACACTGCTGGAAAACTGGCCAACTGCTTTTTCTATAAAATATCATTAATTGTGTTGGGAAATGTTTAAAATTTTTTTAAATAAACTTTTCAAACAAAAGTACAACTAAGGTTGCTTGCTTACTACTTAAGGGTCATTAAAAATCCTAAAATAATCACATCCTATTAAAAATTGCTATGACAACTTTTATTAAAAACAATAAGAAGGCTAGCTTTAAAGCTTATAACCTTGAGGCAGGTACTACTGAAGGGGCTTTCAGAGATTACCTCTTTAATCCTAATAACCTCAAAATGTTTCATGGTTTAATTTCTGCAAGTCTTTTATGCCTGAATCCAATAACTTGACTGATTTTTGAGTGTAAGGTTTTAATAAAAGATTCTAGTCTATTAATTATACATAGTAATCCAAATACTTACATGTCTTCAGGCATCCAATGAAGCAAAAGTTTTATCTTTCCAGAATCCTCTTTTCTCTTAGCTATTACCTAGTAATGATAAGAAATCATAAAAATGATTAGTAACACATTATTCTAATATATCATTAAAAAGCACTAATCAAGAATTTTTAGGCGTTCATACTCTGGACCAAATAATACCACCTTGTCTTGTTCTGCCCTGCTTTGTAGCAATTTCACCTTTGATCATATATTTTCACAAAAGAAACAGGAAAAAAAGGAACTGAAGGTGGTTTATATAGCCAAATACTAAAACCATGATATCCTTACTAAAGAATTGATATTTATTTTACTATCTATTAAGTCTGTAGCTTAGCTAAAATGCTAACCAAGAATCCATACTGGCTGGAATATTTTTAAAGAATAAAGAAACAGTAAAGAACAAACAGCGCTGGGAAGGGGAAAGTCTCTAATTTACAACTAAGGTATTTGTTATTTGCTTGGAGTTTTTTTGTTTGTTGGTTAGTTTGGTTTATTTTAAATGAAAAATTAGCCAATTAGTGTTTAGGTTCAATTTTAGGGACTCTATCTAAGTTAAAGGATGGCTCAACAAGAACAAAAAGACCAATAGAATTTAAGAAAAACAATACACTTGTCATTCATTACCAGATTCTGAAAATTACGGTAATGTTTAAATAAAAACAAATCGAAATAGTATTTTACAACTCTTACAACTTCCGTATTAACAAAATTAGCACTTTACCAAGTTTAAGTTCCAAAGAGCAACACAAAATGTTATATGACATCCTCAAAACATATCAGAATTAAATAACAGCACCTTTAAAAAATAAAACATTTCCTATGCCCATTATTTAAAAACCTATAGTTAATTAAGTACCCTAATTCTAGACCTGGCAATGAGATTAATTAAAAAGCCCAAGGACAGATCCAAAGATGCTAAAACAAAATACTTCTACAAAGAAATAAAGATATAGAAACAATGCAAACCAACCAAGCGTAGCAAGTCAATTGACTGTTAACTAGGAATCTGCTGACCTCTTCTGGAGAAGGCTCGAAAGAAAATGTTTCAATTAAGACGAATAGGCAAACTGTACAGCACAGTCCCTTCACTTACATATTTTCTCTGCAAACTGTTTATCAGTATGGCTGCTTCCTATAAAAGTTAATTTGATAGCTAGGAAACTTAAATTTGTAGTTAGTACTGACTACATTTTGACTACTAACGGAAGTGATTCTATTAACACATACTGCCTCCATCAAACCTTCCCAGACATGGAACTTTGGGGAACTTGCTTACCTACCTCCTTTCTATTGTGTCCAACAAAGACCTTTTCCCATTATAGATGTCTCTTCCTTCCACCTTCCTCAGGAAAAAGCTTTCTTCACTCCACCTTTGTGACTTCTCCTCAGTCAAGGCACCTCTACCTCCCCGAAATCACTTGTGGGTACAAATCTCTCTTATTCTTCAGTTTTTTAAATTTATGACAAACATAGGTTTCATGTTCTTAAATCCTCAGATGTTTTCTATAGCTAGAAAACTTATTTTTACTGTCATAGATGATTTCATTCAGTAAATTTTTAAATTTTCTACTACACTCCTAATACCATCACCATTACTTTTAGTTGTTTTTTCTTTTATCTCTACTCTCCTATGGTGACCCTAAGGACTTCATCACAAGGAGCTACTCTAATGAAAGCATGTGAAAGAAGGTTATTTTTTTAAAATACCACTTTATCATCATCACCACTATTCCCTAATATGTAGATACTTGCTCATTACTGGACCATTATCTCATCAGATTTATTGCCCTTTAAATCATTAAATGTTGATGGTCTCCAAACCTCAGTCCTTAAATTTCTTTTCTTTTCTATTTATACTTAGATCCTAGGTGATCTTATCTAGTCTGATACCTTTAAAAACCACTTATATGCTGCAAAGTTCCATATTTGAATCTGTAGCCACACCTCTCCTGAGCTCAAACTCTTTAGTATTATATCCATATGCCCATTTGCCTACGTGACAGGGGCACTAGATGATTCCACAGAATGTGTCGATATTACAGATATACTCCCCTTCTCTCCTAATCTGATCACCACCACAACCTCTATTTTAAATGGCAACTCCATCCTTTTGGCCAGCTGCCCAGGCCAAAAACACTAGTGCCATCCTTTCCTCTCATTATCAAATCTGACATGTGATCCATCCATAATTCTTGTTCTTGTCAGTACTACTTTCAAAAGACATCCAGAATCTAACCTCTTTGGCATCTCCGCTCGAACCATTCCAGTCTTTTCTCTCATGGGATACTGAGAAGACTGATCTCCTTTGCCCAGCACCCTGACCTACAATCTGTTCTCACAACAAAGAAACCAAAGCGAGAACATTAAAATTTACATAAGGAAAGAGATCAGTGAATTCTCTAAGGTAGTGAGTAGAGGCAGAATGAACCACAAAACTATACAAACAGTAAAGTTTTGAATGGTGGGAATGTTCTGTATTTTAAGTGTGGGAGTGGTAACTTAATAGGAACGTAGAACTATCAAAGCTCATAGAACTGTATACTTTACATGAGTGCAGTTTAACACACCTTGATAAAAATTATTTTAAAAAATCACGTCAGATCATGGCTACTCAAACTCCTTCGTTTCCCATCACACACAGAATAAAAGCCAAGGTATTAGTCCAACAAGGTTCTTCCTAGAACCTCTCTGACTTAAAACTCCTCTCTCCGCCTCACTCATTTCTTACAGCCACACTAACCTTCTCGCTGTTTTTCAAATTACTCAGCATATTCCCATTTCAGGAATTTGTGCTTGATTTTCCCTCTGGCTACAATGTTCATCCACCTCATAACTGAATGGCTCATACCCTCATTTCGTTTATGTTCTTACAATTTTACTAATTTATCTTATTTGTCATGTTTCTTCCACTAGAGTACAGGTTTATTATTTTGTTTTGTTTTAACCTGTTTTGTTCACTGCTGCATCGTGAGTACCTGGAACACAGTAAGTGCTCAATATTTAAGTGAACGAACAAATTAACCATAATGCTACACTCAAGGTCTGGTGACCACATCTTACTGACCTCTGAAAACAAAAGACAATTATAGACCTACCAAATCAAAAATCTGTTATCAAACTTCAAAACGGGCCTTCCAACCATCACTGCTGAGCAAGATCCTGACCTTGCTGAATCCCAACAAAAATTCCCAGCAGATCCATCTTAACTTTCTCTTTAAACCCTCTAATTTCCTTCCAACCCTTTACTTCTTTTTATATTAACTATATTTCTTTCTTTAAGAGAGTCTAAGTATGGTACACCTTTCCTCAAACCGAAACTCACACCTCTCATGTTTTCCAATCTCAGAAAAGGTCCTTTGTGTATTAGTAATCTTTTACCTTCATGCCTTTAATTTTGAGAATCAAAATCAAAACTGGAAATTTTGAATTGGAAGTATACATAGAAAAGTAAAAAATACAAGAAATCCTCATTATTACAGGAGATGGAAAAAATACAGATTCAAATTAGTAGAGATACTGATTATATCAATATTAATCTTTCTTTCCTATTTAAATTCTTGTGCATGTTAACTGAAATATTTTTTAAAAAACTTAATTTTGTATTATTCTGTATTCCAACAACCAAAATTAAACAATCTCTTTTACAAGGGATGCAAATCACCAAGAGTCTGGTCTAAGTTTTACCTCTATGAAATTACCTTACGAAACTCTAATTTAAAGATGAATGGATAATAAATTGGCAAAGGGGCACGGAAAGAAAGAACTCTATATTAGCCCCTAGTTAAGCAAAATTAAACAATGTATTGCTTTTTCAAATTTGATACTTTTTTTCCTATGTTGAGTAACACATTCATTCAACGATTATACTGAGTGCCTACTATGTGTCAGGGACAATTCTAGACACCTGAGAGACATCACTGGAACAAAAGAGATAAAAACTCCCTCCTCACTTCACAAAGCTTTAATTTGACAGCCATTATTCTTTTTTTCTATTGAACATGAACTTTAGATGTGTGTTTTGAGGGTAAGGGAGGAACATGCAGCACATAAGGACGTTAACTAAAAAGTAATCTAATGTTCCTAATTTTACAAATAAAAAAACCAGGTCAGAAAAGACACGTAGTTTACTAAGGTCAGAGCCTGATTTTCAAATGCCTAGTAGCCCAAATGCCAACACAATACTCCTAAATAGCTCAAATGAAAGGCTAAAAAATATTTAATTGATTCATAAAAATGTCAACTTATGAGAAATATTTGCTTTATAACCAACAATGCAAGTAATTTTTAAAATATTGATAAAGCAAATTTTTATAATTTTTGTTAAAATGTATTTTCTTAGATTTTTGAGCAATTTAAAAATATGACTGTGAAAGTCAAAATACATGTTCTTACAAATCTATAGATAATTTGGGGAAAAAATCAAATACTTACAGTACTATGAAAAACAACACTGTGTCCCTTCCCTAAACTTTCTATATGAGCTGAGAGGTTAAAGCATATGGCTCGATGTCTTATCGCATCCAGTGTTTGTGCATCGAAGAAATCATGTGGTCGTGCTAAAAAACAAAGAGATAAAGAATATTTAGATAAATATAGCCAAAGAATCTGTTTTTCACAAAAATATATAAGTAAGAAAGATTGAAACAATTCACAAGTATTAACGTAGTGTTTAAATGCAAGAGTTTTGTTTTCAAAACATGAAGGCTAGCTGACAAGATTAAAGATGTACACAGCAGAATTCCAACTGAGTGAATGTGGGTTAATGTGGCCCCTTGGTATGTGAGGTTCTAACTTCAGACCTTGTGATTCCACATTTCAACTATCTTTTTCACATAATTTATATTTTAGACCTGAATCTCTCCTGGGTGTCAGTCCTACATTTTCAACAATTTGATGAACATCTCCATCTGTGCACCACACTGAGATCTCATTCACCACAGCCAAACCATATGGAATACATTACATGAACATTCTATATTAATATGCAATCAAAAATTTTCCAAGTGTAACAAAGTGGTAATATTATTTGAGTTTTCTGACAAGTATTTTCGTGATTATAAATAACTCTTCTAAACAATCTAAGAGAATTATAAATAATACGTTTTTTAATGACAATGAGTCCACCAAAATACTGTCAAACTCCCAACTCCACCAGTTAGTTATCAGCTGTGTGATTTTGGGCAAATCTCTTAATCAACCTTAGCCTGCTTCCTTTTTGTGAAATGGAGATAAAATAGCTATAGATTATAATTAGGTAAAATAAATACATATAAAAAATGCCTTAAGTCATAAAGCAGTTATATTAATAAGTTTATACCACTTTTTAAAAAATAATAAATTCATAAACCTAGGGTAAGCAATCTTTTAATGTGATCACAACAAAGCTATACACTGAAGATTTAATTTGCTAAGAACATTTTTAAAATTTCAATTTTCTTTGCACTAACGTTATAAATTGTGCTATTTTTATTCTTAATAAAAATGTTGCTCAAAGTAAGGGAAACGAATTTATTGTTTATAACTGTGAAGCTCACTAATACATGTAATTTTATAAGATTATGTGTAATTAAAAATTAAATTATCCTGACAATAGAAGAAATGGCTTGATTTCCTGGTACAGCACATTCTGAATTGATGCAGCTCATTTACCACACTATTGTGATTTACTAGTACGTGGAATGGATTTATCTCTACCATTCATGGAGTTCTTAGAACATCTACACAAACCCACCAGAGTTTTTGTGGGGGGATGATTTCACCAGTTGGCATACTCAATAAAACTAAGCTCTTTTCTCACTGGATTTTTCCTCAGAAGGAAATAAACAAAATACCAACTAGTAATAAACCAGCAGAACCCACAAGATAAATAAAGTAATAATAACGGGAAATCGGTAAGAAAAAAAGTGTTTGACATTTATGGGAGAAAAAAGTCATGATTTTACTTAATGCTGAGAAATCTCCTTCCTATTAGAGATCTGTGGCTATTGGAAAAAAATATGTACTTTCTCCACGCTCTCCAAATACGTTTTTTTCCTGAAGATAAGCACTTAGAGAAAATAGCAATAACTCAACCCTCTGAACCATTCAAATCTAGCCTTCTCATTCAAGATTCAAACACAGAAGTCATCACTTGAATTAAAATTAACGATAATGAAAAAAACTCTCAAACCTCAAATTTTATGCATTGCGATCTTAACTGTGTTATGTCCACTATTAAAGTTTCAAGAATACTAAACTTGAACAATAGTCTGCAAAGCAGATGTTTCATGATCCATTAGAGTAAGGGAAGAAAATAACATCACTTCTTTTCATCTTAATGTTTTTCAATATACCTTCTTGGTAACTTTTATAATGTGCAGTAGCAGTATTACTGGCATATACCATACAAATACACATTAAAATTGGGTGCCCAAGCATTGTTTTAAAAACCGATGAGCGTCTATAGCCATGCCACCCTGAACATGCCTGATCGCGTCAGATCTCAGAAGCTAAGCAGGGTTGGTTTAGTACTTGGATGGGAGACCACCTAGGAATACCAGGTACTGTAGGCGGAATAAATGAATGAGTGAATGAATGAATGAATGAATGAATGAATAATTAAATAAATAACTGACGAGCAACATAATTGATAAGGAAAATGAATATAACCTAAATTTGGTAGCCAACTTTGAAAAAAAAATGTTTTATTTAACACTAAAAATCTTAAGAGAGTTTAGGAAAGTCTATTTTTCACTTGTGGTCTGTTCATTTGTCCACTGCAGCTTTGTAATAACAAAAAAATTTCAATGTTTTAGAGACAAGCTTTATAGTCTGAATTAATTCTGCAGTCTCTTCTACACTCTAATCAAATCCCAAGACAAAGAGTAAAATGCAATCTTTCTTCCTCTCTGATCATCCCTGCAGTGGCCTCCCTTTTCAATAACAGCTTCACTAAATCATATTTCCTCATTTAGAATATATTTAATTAACCAGCTGATACTAAGAATCAGGAAGAGTGCTAGGCTCTGGAGTTTCAAAGTCAATTCTTGGCCCCAACATTTACAAGCCTTATCATCTAAGTGTGTTCTATCCAAAATATAGAGGATGCATCACATCTTGTAATTAAGCTCTTAATATATTATTATGTTACAATAAACTGCTAAGTGCTGAAACAGACTATCAACAGTTTTGCTATTCACACATACCACTTTGGAGCAGATAGGTTACTTAACTTTTACTTGATTTTTACCCTTAATATGCTCAATTTTTCTAAAATATTGTTAGAAACACCATATTGTCATATTTAAAATTTTCTTAATTTAGAAGAGAATCAAAATAACTCTCAAAATCTAATTATATATAGTTTGTACTCTAAGGCCATATATATTTACTCCTTTAGCTACTACAGACAAAACATCCACTGAATTCTCACATGATCCCACAGGTATCCTGTTTATTATCATTAACAAAAAAATAGATAAACAGAGTCGAAGAAAGGTAAAAACTAAACTCATATGAAAGCTCAAGATATAAACGAAAGCATTATAACACAAACAGACTTTCAGTGAAACACTTACGTAATGAGCGTCGTCGTTTGTTCTTTAATTTCCTCCTTTTGTTTATTCCAGCTTTAGAAGGAGATTCTTCTTTGGCCTTTGGCTGGCTAGAAACTTTTGAGGAGTTCTGCTGACTGAAGTGTGTGGGTACATGGCGAGCTAGCCCTCCCTGAGAAGCAAAGCTGGCATTGCAGCCACCAACAACACACTAAATGAAAATACAAAAGGGGGTAAAAGGGGTCAAATATGTGGTGACAGAAAGAAATCTGACTATGGGAGTTAAGCACACAATGCAATATATATACGCCTTACTGTTAGATTGTACGCCTGAAACTTACTGGATTTCGTTAACCAATGTCACCATAAAAAAATTAATTAAAAACAAACAAACAACAAAAAAAGAAAAAAAAAAGGATGTCAGGATGCTGTGTAAGGGAACAAGCATAACACAAATGAGTGAATATTTCATATTTTCAGAAGTAAATCAGTAATGCTATAGAATTCCAGAAACTAAGAACCCTTTCACTTTATAAGTTGCCCAAAATAATACACATTAGGCAGTGGCAGAGCTGGAAAATAAAACTCAAGCTTAATGTCTCCCTAGTGCTCTTCCTCTATATGCAAGACAAAACCAGTAGGATCATTGTCCCACCACCACCACCACCACCAAAAAAAAAAAAAAATCTGGTTTTGAATTAATCACTCTTTTAAGAGGAGCAATAAAATGTTTTCACATCAAAGAATTAGATATATTGACAATTCTTTGGATTCCTGGATTTTTAAAATTATTTTTATCATATAAAATATGCTATTTCAAACCTTCAGCAGCCTCCCTATTGTCGCAACAGATAGGAAAGAAATACATGAATATTAACTTTTAAACTACTAGGTCTAGCCTCTCAGAGAAGACTTATGCTCGGGGTTGGTCTTAATCAACCCTCCACAATTCCATTAAATACTGCCTCTTTAGTCTTCTGTACTTTCAAGTTTGAGAATACAAAAGGTTAACTACCCAAGTCAACCTAGTGGATATGCTATTTCATAATGCACACAGAACATTTGGATATCACTAAAATTACAATACACAAATTGTACAAGTGTATGATTTCTAGTTTGATCTTAGGAAATAATATTTGCAGGTCTTCTAACAAATGAATGTTAATTAAAACAAACACCTTTTCCAAAATGATCCCCGAAAAGCAAAATCACAGCTAGATTACAGGTGACTTTTCTATTAGTAACTTATCCAGTTTACTTCGTTTCTGACTTGACAACCAAACTCCAACCATACAAATTTGTCATGTTTAACACCAATTATATTTACCACATTATTCCTAGCTACTTTAACTAGATAATACCACAAAAAAGTCTACAGGCTTCTGGGCTCTTTCTTCCAATCCAGGAACCTCTATAATTTTCAGCTTCCAAGAACACAACACAACTCTCTATTAATAAAGATTCTAACTTTATTCAAAGTCTCTCTAAATCTACCCCAGTGAAAAGGAGCTCATCCTTCCTTATGGAGATACCTATCCCAACTCATCCTCCTTTCCATTCATTATGAAGGCAGGAGCATACTTTTATAAACAGAAGCATCTTGTAAATCACAGGTATATTTCTAAATATATCAGCAGAACTGAACTGCTTATAAATTCTGATAAAACCAACGCTGGCTAAAAACATTTCACAGCACGCTCTTCATATAGTGCCATAATAATTTCTCTTTTTATTTTGATATACAAGAAACCATTTTATGGGCTCTAATGGCATTCAGCATTGCTAATAAAAATCTTTGCCCATTCTTGGGTGCACACTAAATTAAAAGGCAGAGGAATGATTCAAGATTTTAGTTCACATAGTCATCTATGTCCAGTACTATGCAAAATTCTAGAAGTATAAGGATGACAAAGATACAGTTCTCACCCTGAAAGTGCTTACATGTAGTCAAGCAAGACATACATACGAAGTGACACCTTCAAAAGACTATAGTCAGGAATCAGGCACAGAGTGCTACGGAAACCATGGAAAGAACCCATTAGCCAAATCCGGTACTTTAAAATTACTATTTAATTCACTTCTTCAAAGACCCCATCAATAGTATGGTCCAGATATCCTGCATCAAGAATGTTCAGCTACAGACTCTTGACCATGAGAAGTTTAGCAACTAATGGTTATTCAATTCTTAGAATTTAAACTTACTATACTTTGAGTATCAAGAAAGAATAATGCTTTTTAAAGTTTCCACCTTCTGTGGATTACCACATTGCCATAGAATAACACTGTCCAACACAGAAGCCACTAGCCAAATATTGCTATTAATCACTTTCAGCAAGGATACTATAACTAAAAAATCAAACTTTTAATTTTATTTAAATCAATTTTTATTTATTGAGGCAAAATTCACATGTCATACATACCATGTTAAAGTGTACAATTCAGTGGTATTTAGTGTACTCAGAATGTTGTATAATCATTAGCTCCACATTCTTGCCAACGCTTATTTTTTATTTTATTAAAACCACCCTAGCAAGAAATGGTACCTCATTGTGGATTTTATTTGTATTTTCTTAATAACCATTTTATTTTTTAATTTAAAACATTTTGCTCAATTTAACTACTGAAAAACTTTTTAAGTATGCTTAGAACAAATTGGTAGTGCATCTACTTCTGCAACTGCAAATTTTGTGAAATCTAAATATAGATCAAGTGTTTACATCTGAACTGAATTCTACTTAGCCTTAAGTAGAATTACTCTAAATGGATTAGTTTTGCACTCTCCAATACATTTTAGCTATCAGACATATACAGCTACTGAGCACTTGAAATGTAGCTTTAAAATACACACCAAATTTGGAAGATTTAGTACCAAAAACAAACAAAAAAAACCATTTCATCAACTTTGTTCACCTGCTTCAATTATTTTAATGTAGCATGGAAAATTTTAAATTACCTACTTGGTTCACACGTATTCCTATGACACAGTACTGCCCAAGAATGAGCCATACAATACTCTTACTTCCAAGAAGATATCAGCCCTATATTTCCTAACACCTACTCTAAAAACATAGATTAAATAACCTTCTTTTGTGTCCAATGTGTTAGATACTTCAAAGAATATAAATAAAACAGTCTTTGCCTTTGGGTTCCCAGTTTAATATTGGTTATTCAAACAAATGTATTGAAAAACTCCTTATTTCTAATTTTAAAACAGCTACTTGACTACAATGAATAGGGCAGAGATGGAAGTGACAGGCCAGATCCAAGCCCTCAGGTTTAAACTCAGATTTTGTGATATGATTCCACCAGGATTATCCTTAATTATAAGGTTCTGGTAGGCTGGTGGATTCATTTTCTCCTGGGATCCTTTAAGACTGCAAAGAATAGGCCCTAGAAGGATTTAGAACTGAGAGTAAATATTATGAGTTTAAATATATACATATATTGCAAGATTATCTTAATCAGCAATGATTCAATGCTCTGAAAATGAGAATTCTAACAGAAAATTTTTATTTTTGATTTTGATCAAGAATCATAAACAAATCTAAAAAAGAAAACGATACTTTAATGAAAAAGAAATATAATAGAAAATCACAATCAAAACCATTTCACTTAAATGCAAAGTCTTTTACCCTAAAGGAGAAAAGAATTTTAAGAATCATTTAATCAATTATTCTACTCAGTAAGTGTATATCATAGAGAACAGGTGAGACAAATCTGCTGTTGCCTCAAGTGACGTTAGCACCACCTTCATTCCTCTTAATAGGAACATTTCATGGTGCTGAGTGTGATTTTAGTGTTCGAGCATTCAGGTTTTCACCCACACGTACAACAATGACCCCTGAAGCTGCCTCACGCAGTGTTCTAATGAATAAACACCCTGTTCCAACAATTAGAGAACAAAACTGATCGTGCACGTGGAATGTTTTACATGTTTTATCTCCCAAATTCACTGAAACTACCTATGTTGGCTACCACTAGGTCAATTAGCTGTTCTAAAACTTGAAATATGGAGTTACTGGGTTTTTCCCCCCAAAACAGATTTATTCAAATGAAGCAATACTAAGACTGTCTTATTCATATTTATACTCCTAGAAGTGCTATGAAAATCTACAAGGGACTACTATAATATAAAGCATAAAATACCAGTTTCACAGAAGATACAGTAGCATTTATTAACAGGAATATTAAGGTCAACAAAAAAACCCAGGTAGAAAACGTTGGTTTCTCTTAGTTTTGACGAATATATCCCAGTAACATGAGATAAAATCAGGGGAAACAAACTGGATGAAGGTACAGGGGGGACTCTCTGTGCTTTTTTCTTCCTTTCAAAGAACAATGAATTGGTAAACACATTTATTTACCAGGGAAATCTTTAGTGTCAGCTAGTATATTACTAGATGAACTAAAAAGTTCACTTAGTAATATAAGTGACATTTCTCTTATAAGGCCACCCAGAAGAGAAATATTTTGTAGAACAGAGTTTCTTAAATCTGGGTGCACATCAAAATCACCTGAAAGATCTCTTTAAACAAATGCCTGGCAACATGCCCCAAAGATTCTAATTCAATTGGTCATGGGTACAACTCAGGCACCCGGGTTTGGTTACCCAGTGGCACAGTCCACATAATAAAGAACCTCCTGATTCTTACTAGCTTTCCAAATAATAAGATCCCTACCATTCTCCAAGAGTGACCAATTAGTTTGTTTGTTTGTGGGGGGTGGGGGATCTTTTTTTTTTTTTTTTGGTAGTCTGATGATCACTACAGCTATTATCCTTATGTATATTCAAATTGTACCATCTTTAGTCAGTGGGAGGGAGCCTCCCAAAAACTGGCTGTCAAAGCTAGGGAACATGAGAGCTTCAAAGAGACACACAGACATCATACAAAATGGTAAGGACAATAAATAAAGATAGAACAGGGTGTTTAAAGCTTTGTATTATTACAGAAAAGGCTGAAAAGCAAAAGAGTCTCACTAAAATGTGTGTGTGTATGTGGAGATGGATGTGTTAACTGTATACACATATCGAATCACAATTTACATTTTGATATCTTACAATTTTATTTATCAGTTACACCTCAATAAAGCTGAAAAAGAGTAAAAGATTTTTAAATTATCAGTATCAGCTACCACTATAAAAGAGATCAGAAAGGAACTGAAGGAAATTATTTCATCATCCATCACAGTGAATGGTGCAATAATATTAGT